GAGCTGGACACCTGGGGTACGGAAGCTGTTTCCGCGATATTGCGGCTCACGGGGATCTTCCTAGACCTGGTTGAATGAGACGCCAGGGTTGGTAGGTTCACACGAAACCATCGGTTCCTATGAGCCGCTCGATAGAATGAGAGGGATATTGATGTTCGCCGTGGTTCATGTCTTGAATTGCATGAAGTCGAGTTAAGCTTAGGGCTATGAGAGGTGATCAGCAGATATTAGTGTGCCCTTTATGTAGTAGTCTTGTCTCGGTATCTGCCACTGGAAAAGACTACCGACTTGTCTCACATCCAAACATTCGAGGTGAAGTCATGGTGGTGTGGATGGATGGAAGGAAGTCTAGACTGGATGGTATCCGTACTTCGTACGAATACTCCCTCCCAGGCCAGCAGTAAGGCCATGCGGAAATGAGAATGAGAGAAAAAAAAACAAGCAACACCAGTTGGACCCCTGGAATGCGGTTGTGCTTTGTTCCACAAGCTAAAAGCACCGTAAAATTGGAGCGCCGATCGATCTCGGACAATTTGAGAGGAATTTTTGGGATGAGATGGCATGAAGGAGCGCGTGGTTAATGTGAAACAAGGGCCATTTCGGCGTCGGAAGCCCCATAGTTCATGGGGACGGGAGCCGAGAGGAAAGAGGGGCCGTGGATGGGGAGCGAGATTGGCTGGTTATGGGGGCTCGAGTGAGAGGTGACAAGGCAGTTGAGGGTTTATTAGAGTTTTGGGGAGAGCCGTGAGCGAGAGCATTTTGACAGTTGCGTGATGGTTGCTGTTGGTACTTGTTAGTGGGTGTGTAGGGCAGGATGACGGCAGTCCAGCGGCAGTGGTGTGTTGCCACATCTGTACTTGTCAGTGAGGTAGCATGTCGACGATCTTCCGGTGGGCATTCGGGAGGGAACGAGTCGGGTCGACCAGCGCACAAGGCGGCCAGCGAGAGCATAGACGTTTCCATCCGTGCCACGAGCCCTGCAGGCCACGGCATGCCGCAAGCAAGGTATCTGTAGAGTCAACCCACCATTGAAGTGATTGCTGCGGTACCACTTGGTACGATGGCGGGCTACACAAAGCTCAATAAATTGAGTTGGCTTCGGGGAGCGATGCTGTAGGATGCCGAGTGGCTGTGTGTGTGTGTGTGTGTGTGTGTGTGTGTGTGTTTGTGTGTGTTTGTGTGTAAGGAAATGTAAGTAGGTAAACGTGAGGTGCCAAGACGTCTCTGCCCCCTTTCGAATGTTCGATGACCAGTCGAAGGTTAGGAGAAGTTGCGTTTTATCTAAGCTCTAGGTAAAGAAGCATAGCGCAACCTTCGCAAAGAACACGCGTGACAGACGCGCGGGAAGCATGATGAAAGGGAACCGACACTCAAGTATTGAGTTGGCTGACGGTGATTGGTCAGGGGATGAAGTTGACGAGATGCGGGTGGGCAGGGAACTTGGGAGTTGCAAGTTGCAAGCTGCAATCACTGGATGCAATCTTAAGGGGCAGCCCGGGCCTGAGGCACATTTCTTGGAATGTTCTTGCTGGGAAGGCAGGTTTGTGTCTTTTCTGTCGCGGTTGCTCCAGGGAAGGACCCTTTAGATGGGAGTCTGGGACGGGCTTCCTCTCACCTTCCGTTACATCTGAAAGCGCTAGAAACTCGGTCTTGGGAAGGCGCTTATCCGTGTAAGCGAGTACGGTCCCTACCTTACCTTAGGTACCTTACACTGGGTAAGGTACCTGACCTTCCCCCAAGTACAGAGCATTTCGTCCCATTGTGCAGATAGACTTACGCGGCTAAATGGAATGGCGAGATGACTTTTGCTGGTGTCTGAGACGGCAAGTAAGTTGATGACGAAAAAGCAAGCTCTTCTTCAGGCGGAGAAAATGTTCCCATGTGCCGGTCTCAACGGTCCGTAACGTCATCCTCAGTGTTCCAGACTCCCAGCCTTGTGTGATAATTGGAAAGGGGAAAGAAAAAAGGGGGAGAAAGACGATGCGGTAATTCTTGTATCGGGGACTAAGGTGGTGTTGGTTTAGTGGGATCCCATCCCCATGCATGAACACGGTGTAGAGTCTGCGTTACTGAGATTACCGCTGCCATTGGCCGAAGCTCATCAGCTCACCGCCATGCAATGGAATCGGGAAACATGCATCAGAAGACAACGAGATACCGCATCTGCTGAACTGTTGGAGTTTACAGAATCCAATCATTTCGAATCGGCATCAAACATACCAGATTCGAAGTCACTGTTTAAGACTTCACAGACTGAGAGGCTGGCCCAGAGATAAGCAGCCAACTGCAGAGTTCATACGGTGTTTCTGCCACCGGGGTAGGGGGATCCATTCCCTCGTGGTGGGCGCGCGGGCGGGCGAGACCTTTTTGGGTGCTTGGGGCCTTGGGCAGCTCTAGGTGGCCCCAATGGCGTTATTAGCTCTCATTAGTGGCTCTGGGGGCCCTGGGCTGGGTTAGCGAGCTGTTAGAGCCTGGCTGCGTTGCACGCCATGCGGAGGTTGGAGGTGTTTTCTCGTGGAGCATCCAAGCATCCAAGGAGGAGACGACTGGATTCCTGGAAGACTAAGGCGAGTACGGTATCCGCACTCCGTAGGGGTGAGGAACAAGAAGGGTGAAGGGTGAAGGGACCACTTCAGGAGAGGAGCATTGGGCATGAGAGCAAACCACCTCACCTCACCTCACCAGGTACTCCGTACGGAGTACCAGTCTGGCAGTCTCTCAGACGAGACAAGTGACGGGTACCTCGACCTCTTCCCAGTTTAGCGTGGCTCCGTCGGTACCTGCGTCGGGGGAATTCCTTGCTGCAGGGGTGCGGAGCGCGGATTGGATTGGATTGCCCTTTGATCTGGCCAATGAAAGCCACGAATTGCTGTTGCTTCAGTGCGCCTTCCTGACTGCGTATCGGTGCCGCCCCTCCCAGCTCTCAAATTGGATGGGACATTGGATCCATAGGGGACGCTCTTTCCCTCTTGCCCCCATGAGAAGAAGTCAGGAGCAAGGGGCGGGCTGTCCTTGCCATGCCTTCCCTTCTCCTGTAAGGTACGTTCTCAGGAACACAGGTACCTACTCCGTACTCCGCGTACTGACCAAGGAATCCCCCATTCTGATGTGCTTCTCTCACGCGCTCCCCGTCTCTATTGCGCCCCTCGATACGGAGTAACCTGCCTTACCTATCTTTACCATTTACTGAATCCGTACGGAGTAGACTGCTAAAACCCCCCTTCTCGAATTGTCTTCATCTCTTCACACACCTCACACCATTTAGCAACCATCACCACCTTGCTTTGCGCCATCGAACCTGGCAAGAATAGGAACAATCTCCTGTCGGCGCAACTACAGAGTAGCAAATCTCGAATTGCATTACACTGCGCACTGCACTGACCTCATCCCGATCCCTCGCCCATCTCACCTTCACCTCCACTGGCATAATTACATATTACGGATACAATACACTCTTGTCGCGGTCCCAAGTCCACCCACCCATCCATCCAATCCACGACTGCCCAGCTCCAGGACCAGACTCAACCTAAGCTCAATCGTTGGGCACTTGCTTGTAATCATTTGCACCACTTGCACTCCCACTTGCAATTGCTGCCCGCGACGCGCCAGTGTTATTCCCTGCTTCTTCACCAGTCCACGACCCGCATCTGGCCCTTTCTCTGCTCGTCCCGCCCGGGTCCTTTCTCACCCTCCCTTAATTACACCATCCCCTCTTCTCGTCGACATTTCGGCCAAAATCCTACCGTCGCCCGTTCAGTCCTTCCTGTCTTCGTCCTTGTCCTTAGACTTGCGCGGGTCACGGACACACAAGACCCTCCACTGTACTGTCCAGTACCTTACCTCCCCACGCAGCCACGCCTCTTCGTCCGATCTCACTTCACCACCGCCCGACTGGAAACCCTTCCTTCCGTTCGACCATCCGTCCGACGTTTGGCTTGCGGTCCTCCCATTCCATTTCTCCTCCGTCTGTAGGAAAGGATCTTGCGCCTGCTTTTCTTTTCGACTGCGCCTACGCCTACTACGCCTACACCTTTTCACTACCTACCTACCTTACCACTGCTGCCGTTCCACGAGAATAGCAACGACGCATCTACACTAGCTCCAGCCATCGGCTCGGCACTCCATTGGTAAGTGCATATGACGGCCACGATCCTGCGTCCACCTCATCACTGCCCTCTTCCTGCCCCTATTTGCTGCGAGACCGCCCCTCCTTTTGCACTGCACCCTCTGCAGACGGCAGATCTTCTGCCTCGACGTCTGCCGTTGTATCGCAGCCAACCAGACGACGGGGACGACTCGCTGGGGACACCCACGTCTCCAGAATTTCGACTTGGGGAGCCGCCTTTCGCATTGGTTCCTGTTCTGCTCTCGTTTGGTCTGACGCGACTTTGGCTTCTTCCCTCCGTCCCCAAACCTCTTCCTGACTGCCATTTCCCTGTCACATCGTGCAGGCGCCGCCCAGCACAAGACTTGCTCCTCTCCGTTTCGCCGCGCTGCACCCACCGCGACACCCTCTGCGGTTGGCTCAGTAGGGCGTTTGAGCGGCTGGCAATTGCGGCCGACCCGGGTTGTCGTTGCTTGGTAGCTAACCTCAATTTACCAGACACTCACTCTTTTCCGTCATCGTCCCATTCTCCCATCATTTCCCCCCTTTCCACTCTTTCCGGGGACCACCGATTCTCATTCTCTTACCGCTTACAACGAGCACGCAAACAAGACTCATCCCAGGCAAGATCGAAGGCCTGTCCGGAGAAATCGATTGCCAACTAGCTGCGCTCTCCCCTCCAAATTCCGACATTTAAGCCACCGTGCTATTCGACATCCTCTCGATAAGCGGTCCACACCTCCGCCGCTTCCACGCAACCTACTTACGCAAAGTCTCCTCCATAAACCGAACAAGCGCAACGGGCAGCTAGCATTGTGGTCGCATATGCTATTCGCCCACTCCGTTTGCGGCTTCCGACTCTGAAACCTTTATTTTATGCTGAGGACCCCAGATAATGAGCCAGCCCCGTCGCTCTAGCTTCGGTATGCTTCTCAGACGTTCCAAGTCCGGCGACCTGGGGAAGGGTGGTAAGAAAGCCCAAGCCCTTCGCGAACAGCAGGAACGCGAACTCGAGCGTCAGCGTCAGGCTGCAATCTCCAGAACTCCCCCCAAGCTCCCCGAGTTCTACAAGGCCAATGACCAGCTCTCCAACTCCATCCCCTCTGACATGCGTGCTGAGGAGGCCTCAATCATGTCGGATCACACCATAGGTACTGCCTACTCGACCCGGCCCTCCATGGAGCCCAGCCGCAGTGTCGCGGGATCCGTGCCGCCTATGCCTCCCATCCCCGCGAATGCCTACGACCCCTATGCTCGCACCGAGAGCATGACGCACCGTGGTCGCTACAGCTATGCTAGCAGCGCAATCAGCACTGTCAACAGCCCTAGAAGGGTTCGGAGAAGAAAGGATCCCACTCCCTTCAAGTAAGTCAACTTCCGAGATATTGCCATGCCTGCCCTTTCTCTACAGCCCGCTAACCCTCTTTGCGTAGCGTTCTCGTCATTGGCACCCGAGGCGCTGGAAAGACGTCTTTCCTCGAATTCCTAAAGACTGCTCTGGCTCTCCCGCCGAAGAAGCGATCCCGCAAGACTGAGGCGGAGGAGGAACCCGCTCCTAGATCTCCTTCCGGCAACTTCATCCCTCACTACCTCGAGACGGAGATTGACGGCGAGCGAATTGGCCTCACACTTTGGGATTCGGAAGGCTTGGAGAAGAACGTTGTCGATCTCCAGCTTAGGGAGATGTCGGCCTTCCTGGAGAGCAAGTTCGAAGAGACCTTCACCGAGGAAATGAAGGTGATTCGATCGCCTGGCGTACAAGATACCCACATTCATGCCGTCTTCATGGTTCTCGACCCAGCTCGTCTCGACCGCAACCTGGCGTCAGTCAAGGGCGGGGTATCGAACGGGCACAACGGCAAATACGCTCCTCCAGCTCGCATTTCGGGAGGTCTTGACGAAGATCTGGATCTTCAAGTGCTCCGTACCCTCCAGGGAAAGACTACAGTCATACCCGTCATTTCCAAGTCGGACACGATCACGACCAAGCACATGAATATCCTCAAGAAGACCGTGTGGGAAACCGTCAAGAAGTCAGGACTGGACCCGCTTGAGGCACTTGGCCTCGACGAGGACGACGACTCAACCAGGATCGCAGAGGAAGAAGAGGCAGTGTCTGACGAAGAGCACGCCGATTCCCACGATGAGGACGATTTCCCAATCCAAGGACGGGAAGATGTACCCTCCTCCCCCGGCTCGAAACGACTTTCTGGGTCCTCCATCCGTCAGCACAAGGCTAAGCACGAAACCAAGGAGGAGGAAGTGCCGTTCCTCCCGCTCTCAGTCATCAGCCCTGATCTGTACGAACCCGAGGTTTTGGGACGTCAATTCCCATGGGGTTTCGCGGATCCATACAACGAGGAGCATTGTGACTTCACAAGACTCAAGGACGCCGTCTTCAGCGAGTGGAGGGCCGAACTCCGTGAGGCTAGCAGAGAGCAGTGGTACGAGGGCTGGCGAACTTCGCGACTTAAGAATAGCCCGAATGCTCGTCGCCGATAGACCACTTCAGAGTGGGTCCATGGGCTTTACTTTTGAACCGTCGATACCCTTACCTTTCTGAACCACACAGCCCTTTTCGATGGCTGGCTTTACACCTGATTTCTGCACTTGTCGATGAGATTTGAGAGCACCGCGCAGCATACCCCCTTTTCCTCTGTCACATACCAATTCTTACGAACTTCTATGGTTGGAGGGCGCCCAAAATACGGCGAAATGACAGCATCATCAGCCCAACTTCGCATGACGAAACTCCTTGATATCCCTGTTGCTTCCTTACCTCGACGATAGCTCAGGCAAGATGACGACGTATACCAGCATTTCCGACTCGAGCAATCGGGTGACACTAGCATCGCCAAGACGCCTGCTTCGCACGAGAAGGATGCAAGACTTAGTTTATTATACTTTTGGCACCGAAAATACGTTTCCCGACTTCTTCACTGGTAGCGATCACACCTCGCTTTACCAGACTTTCTTTTCTTGTTCTTTTTTACTTCGCTTCTTTTAACGACATTCAAGATTCTGGGGACGAAAGAGTAGACTGAGTTTAGCGGCGGTTGTAATCAGTCACATTTGGTTGGAGAGCAGGTGGACAGAGAAGGCCTGCGATTCGATTCAGACGGGCACGAGAGATACAGGTTGGAACCGACTATGGTGGTTACCCGGGAGGATCAGCCGATAGCTGTAGGGCAGTCTTGATAGGGACCGGTTTTCTATTCACGAATTTTGATTTGACTTCTTCATGACGAGACTTGTTGACCTGCTGCGTTGTGGATGCTTAACATATGAGACTGTCCCGCCTGTTGCTGGGTACGTGCGAGTGAGACTACGTCCAAGGAAAAGTAGGGTCTACATTCGAGTATCCTATATCCATCCATGAACGCCTTGATGCATGCTTCTCGCATGCTGCTAACAATACCAACAGCCAAGAATAATCCCGCGAGCCAATCCTCACCAACTGCAATGATCTCTCGCATAGGCCAACGACTGGCTCCCTTTTTCGTCATCCCATGACCGTTTCTTGCTAGTCTTTACACTTCAAGCCCCTCTGGATGATATATAGCTAGCCGTAAGAGATAAGATGAGAGAACGAATGCAATTCTGTCGAGTTGATGGCTGCTGCGCCAGGCCAGCCGGCCGGCCAGCCCCGCCTTTCTTTCTTCTTCTTTTACAACTCATCGTCCTCGTCGTCACTTTCCAACTCTACGTACTCGGTATGCGTGGGCTCGCCCGTCGCCTCGTCGACGTCGGCCTCCTTACGGTCCGGGTTCCTGCCGCGACTGATGAGAGCCAGGCGTTCCTTTTTGCCGAGAGCGATGCCGTCGAAGCCGGGGTAGAGGTTCAGGTCGGCTCTGTTTGTTGGTTGTGGTTAGTTCCTGACACATTTTTGACCACGGATCCCGTTTAAAAGGGAACAAAGAGAAAGAGCAAAACCTACTTTAACAAATCAACCTTGAGATTCCGCGCCTTGTCGCGAATAGCCTGCTGGTCTCGCGGGTGATCAAGGATACAGTCCTCCCTCTCCTCAAAGGTGTCGCCGCCGCCGCCGCCTCCATCGCTGCGGCCGGCGTGCTGGCGTTTCGCGATGAGCGCCCAGAGGCAGTTGTGGTGCTCTATGAGGCGGATGAGGCGGTAAGTGTCCCTGTCGGACCAGGGGACGCGCTGTTGCGGGCCGGCGCGGGAGGCTGGGCGGCGGTTCATCTCGTTTATCTCGTGGAAGGAGGCGACTGTGCTGGTTGTGCTGGAGACGCTGCTTCGGGAGGAAGGGGGAGGAGCTGAGGAGGCTGGGGCGCCGTTGGGTAGGGAGGAGCGGGGGCGCCGTTGGAGGGAGGTTGTTGAGGAGGAGGCTGAAGAAGAGGGTGGTGCTGATCGGGGTGGTGGTGCGGTGGAGGGGAGGGTTATGCGTTTTGAGGGGGGAGGGGGCATGTCACGGCGGTCGCGGGCGAGTTGGGCCCTTCGTTGGGGGTTCGGATCGCGGTTGTCTTCTTCGAAGTGGTCGTCTGACTCTTGGGATTGTTGGGATAGGGAGACGGAGGCTTCGCGGAATCGTTTCTTGCTGTTGTTGACGGCGGTGAAGCCCGAGGAGCGAGGGGGCCCGGTGGTGGCGGCGGTGCTGGGACCGGCTTTGGCGGAGGAAGAAGGTTGTGTGCTGCGGATGATTGCGGTGCTGGGAAGGCCTGCGATGATGGCTGAGAGGTCGCTCGGCGCCGGGGAGGGGTTGCGGCGGCGGTCTTCTTCTTCGTAGTAATCATCGCCGATACCTCCGTTAATGATGGGTTCGGCGGTAACTCCACGCTGAGATCCACGCTGAGATCCGCGTTGGGATCCGCGCTGGGAGTTTGCTAGTGACGGAGATGGGCGTATGTGCGAGGGGTTCTCGCGGGAGAGCATTGCTAGGAGTTGCACGTTTGATCGAGACAAGATATCTTCGCGTCTATAGTCGAGTCAGTATGTGAGTTGCGTAGAGACAGCTTGGAGAGTATCTGGAGGAGGCCGTACACGTCGTTGCGGACAATATCCTGTGGTGCGCTCGAGGGGAGGGAGTCTGTCGGAGAAGATTCTCTCGACCCCTGCGGCGGGTCCTTCAAAATGACACTGAGCTGGTCAATCATTCTACTGCACCAGGAGGAAATCTTGCTGATGAAGTCGATCGGCTCGTCGTCGGCTTCGTTCTGTGACTGGTCAGGCGACCCCTCGAGCGGGAAAGTCTCGTCCAGGGCCTGAATGGCATCGTCCGCGCTCTTGTCCACGATGGCGTCGTGGATTTGTTTTGCCCTCTCTGCGAAACGCTCCGTCATGCGGCCGTTGATGCCCCTGAACGGTCCATGCTGCAGTGCCTCCTCTGCATCGACAGGGGACTCTAGGGGCATGCAGAAAAGCTCCGCCGCGATGTCGGCCGGGTTATGTTGGTCGTCTGGCAAGGCCTTAAGACTCGTAATCAGCCGGTGCGTGCGGATGTCGAGGGCGAGCTCGATATCGTCTTCGGTAACGTGGTCGGCGTAGTCATCGTACGGGCACAACGGTGCGGGAAAATCCTCGTCGAGGCGCTGGAAGATCTTCCAGACTCTATCAAAGTTGTCCTCCTTGCGGAGCTCGGCGTCGGATATGACGTTGAGCAGCGACGTGGCGTTGGCGCCGATGATGACGGCCCGCGCCTTCATCTGTTGCCTTTCGCTAATGTCCTCGATGCTGGCGAGGAGGTCGATGAATAGCGCGTCGGTCTCTACGAAGAACTCGCGGGTGCGGAGCCAGTTGCCCCGGAAGACGGGCAGCAGCCGGCGCCAGGATTTGCTACCTGGCTTTGGGTTCCGAAGCAGCCTCGCTAGAGCTTCGGATTCGTGCCATAATGAGTCGAGCGCGTTCTCCTTGAGTTCCGCCTCGACGAGATCCTGGGATGCGTCATCGTCACCTTCACCCAACTCCGACTCGTCATCGCTGCCGTCGTCCTCTATTCCTGGTAGCTGTACGCGTCCTTTTGCTTTTGTCAGTAATTTGTCTCCCGGACGCGCAAGACGCGGATCGCACCTTGTGATCCTCTCGGTGCCGATGACCCTGGTGCTTCTGTAAACAAGATTAGCATAACGCGTTCTTGCAAGGAAACAAAACAAACGCAGTGTTGGCAGACTTGAGAAAATTGTGTATGCAGCACTCATGAAGGCCGGGGTTGCGTTCCTCTGTGTGCCCGAAACACTTTGCGATCCCATTTCTAAGGGCGGCTATCAGTCTCGAACTTCAGATAGCCCCATCACGAACACACATAACAAGACTTACCGCTGTCGTTGTCCTGTGGGTTGATGTCCCTGACAATGTCCTTCGCATTGAAGCGCGCGACCGGTTCATTTCTGTATAGATCTTCCTCTTCCTGCTCTTCCACGTCATCCTCCTCCTCGTCTCGTTCTTCCGCCATCTCTCGCAACGTGGTGCTCGTCGGGACGATCTTAGCTTTCCCTTTGCCTCGCGTCGTTGACCGAGATGCAGCAGAGGCGGCGGCGGTGGTGATCGTAGTGGTAGTGGCCTCGGCGCGTTCCGTCATGTTTGTGCCGCCTGCTCGACGTCGTGTCAACCGAGCAGAACGAGCATCTTCAGCATTGTTCTCCGGAGACTCCGGGGCACCGCGGCCCGTTCTTGTACGGGCCATGCTGTTTGACTCGGTGTTGTTTCTTGGAATGACTGGGGCTGCCAGAAGACGCTTTTTTGTTGGGGTTAGGTAGGGATGTTGAGTTTGCTGCTAACCGGATTCTCTAACCCTAACCCCGACGATGATCGGAATAGGATACGTTGATCGAGTGGTGCGTAAACACAGGTTCACACTGTGTTATAGCTGCCTAAGGTGTCCATGCGCGAGCACCCGCGTCGCCTCTTTAACGGAAACAACAAGGTTTAAGTATCCCCCTCTCCAACATAATAATATTGGGTTAATTGCGGAATGAGGAGCTGCGCCATAGTACCTTATCATTCGGCAGACTCTCTGATAACCTTTATAAAAGAAGTTTCTGTGGGATTTTCGTTGCTTTACGTCGTTGTTTTAGGCATGATCTAAGACGCAGGCAGGACTAAGGGTACATCGAAGGAACTCTGCAGTTTCATCAGGAAGCGCACGCCTTCAGTGTCTTCCGTCGGCCTCGCTATAGGCATTCTAGGCCCATCATTTAGCACCCGATGAATCTTTTTGTAGATGTTGTTCACCCACTCCTTGTTTCTGGCAGCGACAATTTGGCTTTAGTTGCACGTGTCTGTGCAGGGGGGATAGAAGCTGTCGCCTCTTGCTGCCTATGCCACCTTGGCTTGCCCACCGGCCCACCTCACCTTGATATACTTTGATGAAGTCCATGACAGGTAAGTCCTTCTTCGATGTTTTTATCTTAAAGTCGATGTGCTAGTTACTGTGATTCAGAGGTCACTAGCGTTGGGTGTTTTGGACACTGGTTGTGCTTGGGGGCTCATTTGGCGACGAATCGTGTAAGTGAGCTTTCTGCCTCCCAGCCCCGGGTAAGCATAGATAGGGCAGAAGAGAGCGCTCTCTCCGCTTCTGTTGATTTGAATCTCATGTCTTCAAGGCTGTGAGCGCAAGAAAAACAACGTAAGGCAGGAAAGCGTTATTTTCACATGAAGTCAGCATAATCTATTCCAGCAGACTCGAGCTGAGACCATCAATTGTAGCTACGGTTATTGCAGAGGCTCAAGACTGGCTGGAGAGGGGGGTACTGGGTCCAGATCGCATCATTGCTGCTTCTTTTCCAACTGTTTGAGAGGAGCATCCTTTCCGAAGAGGCCCAATAGGTATGCCGTTCTGGTCAGACAGAGAAGGGCCTTTGATGTGTTAGCACAGCGTCATGGCTCGAACGAGAAGGGTGGTCGCACCGTGACTCCCACGTTGCCCCAGGCCATGGAGTTCCAGCTTGCCACGTCAAGGAAGCGATCGAGGCCCATAACATGGTAGCATACGTAAATGTGACCAAGGTCGGCTATCCAAAGAGCAACGAGGTACCCGCGCACGACTTTCAGCTCACTGGTGAGGTTGAGCACGGCTAGCCCGACCATGGCCATGAGCAGGTAGATGTTCCCGAGCTGGAGGGCCACGAGACGGGCATTATCAGATTCTGGAGTCGGCACGGCGGCCGAGATGGCGCCGTGCGCGATCTGCTCGGATATGAACCAATCCGGGTTGATAACGGCACCTAGGAAACCGCCGACACTTTTTGAGACAGAAAGGCATCAGCTCAGTGGCGGCTGGGGATTGCCAGGGTGGCGAGAGAGAGAGAGAGAGTGAACGTACAGTGAGATGGGCTCGAAGACGGTGAAGACTAGTCTGGGGAAGGTTGGAAGAGCCGCAGCCGCCGCCATGATGAGAGAGTAGGTAGAGGCCGTTGGTACCGGTCAGCTAGTGGGAAGCGGAAGAGGGGGATTGAAAGCGGTGCAACAACAAAAGTAGTCACCGAACCCTTGCTGATGTTCTATGGAAAGGACAGGTGGTTTCTCGAAGCCGGATGGGCGGTTGACAGGCAGGCAGGGCAGGCAGAATTTGAGGCCAGAATGGTTCAGAAGAAGGCGACAACGGTGGTAGGGAGGGGCAACAGGCAACGCAATTGATCAGACCGAGAAGCTGTGAGACGTTCTTTCAGCTTTGGTGGAGGGTTTGTGGTGTGTGGTGACTGTGGTGTGTCATGCAGGAATTCGGAGAGACGGAGGCGGAGGCGGAGACCACGGACGGCTGTAAACTGGAGCGAGAGACATGTCTTGGGTACATCAGGTAAGGTACACCGTAATGTACTGCCCTGTTAACCTACCGTACGGAATAATAGTAAGCAACCAAGGTTGCCGAGCTTCGCACCGAGTTGGGTTGAAGTTCCGCAGTTACGCAGGCTGGCAGGACCCAATTCAGGCTCAGGGAAGGGAGATCCATCATCCAGTGAACCTAAGGTGGGACGAGAGGTGTGCACGGTGAGCCGTCCAGTCAGTGCCAGTCTTGCCAATGTCTGTCAAGGTTAATCAACCCATTGCCTGGCGGCAGGTTTTTGCTTAAGTTGGGCAGCCATCCATTAGGTTATTTCGTCTTCTCAACTCCATGGGGCAAGTGTACCTAGTGTTCGATCCTGGTGCATCAAGTTGTCTCCAGTGCCTGCCCGTGTAAGGTACATCTTCACATACCTATGTAGGTAGGTACATATTGTCCTGAAGAAGGAGGAAGACTGAGAGAGAGAGAGAGAGAGAGAGAGAGAGAGAGAGAGAGAGAGAGGCAAAGAAAGAGGAAGCTGCGTGCCGGCGCGGAGAAGAAGAAACGGGCATGGCTGGGCAGCAGCCAATGATAATCACAAAGTATTAAAGTTACTTGGCACACCCGCCGTCGCCGCTGGTTGGTATCAGCAAATACCGCGGACCCAACCGCGCTAGTCTCATTTGCCGCTTCTACGGTGGAGAATCTTCACGTGGAACTTCCATCGTTGGGCAAATCTTCCAGGAGGAGCCCTGCAGCCACTAATCACTTTGGCAAGCTGTGGTGACCACTGGTGAGCCCGTCTGCCTGTCAGACCGGGCCCTGAAATGCTGCAAGCCAATCCTTAGCTGCTTGAGCCTGCTTCACGCTCACACGCTTTACTTTTCACTGATACCCTTGCCTCTATGCTCCCGAGTCCCCTCCGCCTTTCGGTCAGTCACTGCCAGTCTTTGCTACCTGAGCAAACTCGTTGAAGACTCGAGTCCACGTCTTCCATCCTCCTCCTCCTCTTCCTCACCATCCTGCCCGCACGCCGCCGACCTTACACCATCCATCCCGCGCTCAATTGTCTCTCCTTCTTCCCTTCGCCTCTCCCCTTCACTCTTCTTCTCTTCGTCTGTGTTGTTTCCTACCTCAAATTTTAAACCAAATGCCCACTCCGACTTCTCTAGCCCACGATGGCCTACATCGAGCCACGCCTCATCCACCTACTGAACGATTCCACCACGCCACAGCTCGCTCACGCTGATCTGCCGCCTCTCCGCCTAGCCTTTTCTCGTCCCTCCGAGAGGCCCTTCCCACTCGAGCCCGAGACCACCCATCGCGAAGAAAACATCAAAGGGCCCTCGCTTGCCACCAGCCACGGAGCCCCACCACAGAATGCCGGCATCCTCGACGACAGCTTCTCCGCACGAGATTCACGAAAGGATGACGAAGCACCAATCGATCGGGGAGCAGTCAACAGCACCGCGCATTTACAATTGAGACTGCTGTTGGGCGAGGACCGAGATAATGCAGACTCCTCCTTTTCTCTCAGCAAGATCCTCGACGAGGTGCCCGAAAACAAAGATGATTCCGCAACGAAGAAGAGGCACCGCAACGTTGCCACCAAGGACGATTTCGTGCAGCTACCACAGCCCGTTAAGAAACAAAAGCCAATCCAACCCCAGGTCATGCCGACTATGCCACCCATCATCAATGGCTTACACGAACCTCCTCCCGATGCCGCGCTGTTTCCGCCCATTGCCTCCAACGACTTCAACGAACCCGAAAGCAACCAGCTAAAGCCACTCCGAGATTTTGCGCCTGTGCCCGAGGAAAAGGACATGGAGATTGAGGTCGAGAAGCCCGCTGAGGCCGACTCGACAACGACCAAGAATTCGAAATTTAGTGGTGGCAAAACAAGGAAGAAGGCGATGAAGCCGAGGAGGAAGTGGTCCGAAGCCGAGACAAACCACTTACTACTGGGTGTCAACCGTCATGGCGTTGGAAAATGGACCGACATCCTTGCAGATCCCGACTTTAACTTCAATGACCGAACTGCGGGTGACTTGAAGGACCGGTTTCGCACCTGCTGTCCGAACGAGTTGCGCAGGACGAACAGCGAACCAAAGATTGCAACTGCTGCTGCTGCGGCGCCGCCAACGACCCCGACCGAACCAAAGGCCAAAGCGAAAACAGGACTACTTTCCGAAAACATACTCATAGCACAAGATGAGGCTATGGCGAGCGAGCAATCCCAATTGACCCAGGCTGAAATGGACGCCTTTCCTAAAATGAAGAGGAGCAGGGCGCACCGCAAGAAGCTGGAGGATCTAGCCGAGCTAGGAATACACGGTCCATTCAAGAAATCTCACAGACGGGAAAGACGACCTTTTACCGACCAAGACGACAAGCAAATACTCGAAGGGCTGGATAAATATGGACCAGCCTGGACCAAAATCCAGAGAGATCCACGCTTTAGTCTGTCTGGACGACAACCGACAGACCTTAGAGACAGGGTTCGGAACAAGTACCCCAGTGTTTATGCCAAGATTGAAAAGGGATTGTTCCAACCCCAGGACGGGCGAGGGGGCGATACCCTCGAACCGACGGTTAGCATGAGCATCTCGAACACTCTGCAGCCCAACAGGCCACCTCCCATGGAGGCGGCATTGAATAGAACCAATTCCAAGGAGGACCTCCCCAGGTGGCCTCTCTCTGTCATTGACAATGGAGAACTACCTGCCAGCCAGCAGGCCTTCGACTTTGGCGAAACGACCACGGCGACATTCATGGGAAGTGCGGGAGAGATGGATATCTCTCGCCTACTGCTGGACGACTCACAGGTCGCTAGCTCGACTGCGATATACGCACCCGATCAGACGTCTGAATCGACGTCACCTTAACGTACCATTGGGTGTTGAAGCCTCAACAGCCCTTCGACAGCCGGATATTCCTCCTGCTGCGTCATTTGACAACGGTCTAGCACGTCTGCTAGGTTCCGACCTGTCAGCTTGTGTGCGAGAATTTGTATCGAACATTAGAATCAAAAGTGCTGCGTATTGTTTGCTTGCGTGGCGTATATGGAGAAATGGAGCGCTTCGCTGCCCGAACGGTCGTTTCTGGACATAAACTTATACCAAACTGGTTTTCCGTAATCACATTTTGGAGATACGGCGCATGGTCAGATATCTTTGGCCAAGGATGGACAAAAGGGGTTCGGGAGTGAATTAGATGGACTACGGTCGTTTCTGCGCAAGAACGAGATAGTGTTCAGGACAGGCCACTTTGGGCCATCAACCGACTATCTTAGTAGAGTGTCGAGACCTGGGCACTGTGAGCTAGAAAGCACCAATCGCTAGATGATTGTACTGAATACGGTGCACATGACCGATGCGTACTTATTATGAGTCTGGAAAACCTACACGGTTCGCCATGCCAATGATGGAATTTGAAGGTTTCGAAGAAGAAGAGACAGCTGCTTCTGCGTCTACCTTAAGACACATTCGGACACCGTTCTTGTACTTTTGGTGGGGCCGCTGTCATCGATCCTACCCGTCAAGCCCGTGTTGCCATGTGCCCGTCGTGAACGGGACCCACAGCCGCCGAATCAACGGAGCAGGAAAGCCAAGTGGAGATTATGTACACGGACCATCTCGCTTAATCCAATCGACCACTGACCACCGCCGGATTATCGAAGCCCCGCCCCTCCTTTTGACCGCCCAGAGACACAAGTGTAGGGTTCGAAAAACCTACGCCTCACAGAAAATTTCCTGCCCGATCCCTCTGTACTCCACGTCCCGTTCCGTTATTGAATCTGAGTATCTCGACTTCGACCTTCACACCCACCGACCAGATACCCCCATAGACTAATCGGCAGTCAGACAAAATGGGCAAGGGACTGTAAGTGCTTGATACCCAATCCTCAATTCCCAGGTCATTGTCGTCGTCGATGCGATTCGGATTCTTATTTGGTGCTCGAGCGAGTTTGACTTGCCCACCGCGACGAATTGGAGAAGAATTCCGACGACAACATTCGAGAACTTGATCAAGGACCTCCGCGATACGAACAAATATTCTGACAATGCCCTCACAGCAAGAAGCACCAGAAGCGCCTTAGCGCGCCTTCGCACTGGCTCCTGGACAAGCTGTCCGGAACCTACGCTCCCCGCCCCTCGGCCGGTCCTCACAAGCTTCGCGAGTGCTTGCCGTTGATCGTCTTCCTCCGCAACCGCCTCAAGTACGCCCTCAACTTCCGCGAGACCCGCTCCATCCTCATGCAGCGCCTCATCAAGGTCGACGGCAAGGTCCGCACCGACATGACCTACCCCGCCGGCTTCATGGACGTCATCACCATCGACAAGACTGGCGAGAACTTCCGTCTCATCTACGACACCAAGGGCCGCTTCACCGTCCACCGCATCCAGGCCGAGGAGGCCGAGTACAAGCTCGGCAAGGTCAAGCGCGTTCAGCTTGGCCGCGGTGGAATCCCATTCTTGGTCACGCACGATGCGAGAACGTGAGTTTGCACACTCTGCACTGGTTCTGTCAGACATCATTCAGCCGTTGGATCAAGCTTTGGTCGATTCGTCATCACCCAAAATGCTCTCTTGTTCAATTCCTGGAATAAGACTTCCCAATCATACAAAATCCCCTTCCCTTTTGAAGTGGGAGGGAGGCGGAATTGCAACGTCAAAAAGAAGAATATTGGCCGATTACGAAGGAAAGAGATTGGAGCTACATCCGACGGCTGTAATGTATCACCCCATCCGAACCCCCTTTGCTGACTCTTCTCTTCCTCTGCAGCATCCGCTACCCTGACCCCCTCGTCAAGGTCAACGACACCGTCAAGATCAACCTCGCCACCGGCAAGATTGAGGACTTCATCAAGTTCGACACCGGCTCCATCGCCATGGTCACCGGCGGTCGCAACATGGGTCGTGTCGGTGTCATCACCCACCGTGAGCGCCACGACGGAGGTTTCAACATTGTCCACATCAAGGACGCCATTGACAACACCTTCGCCACCCGTGAGTCCAACGTCTTCGTCATCGGCTCCGAGAAGCCCTGGATCTCCCTGCCCAAGGGCAAGGGTGTCAAGCTCACCATCGCCGAGGAGCGTGACCGCCGTCGCGCCAACAACCTCGCCGGCAACTAAGCGATCATTCTTCCTCTTCTCCTACGAAATGATGAAGGTTGCGCGTGAGTCTGCTGCGTGTGTTGCTGCGGCGTCAGGGTTGTTGTTCCGAAAGGTGACGCCTTCGCTGCATTGCTACACACTTTCGTGAATGTCTCTCGGGATGGACACGGGTTATTTGGGTCGGGCAAATGGGATTGAGCATGATCAAACAAAAATTACGGAGTCTAGGGCTGATTTTAGAGTTATCGGCTTTGACTACCCGGCAGATAGCTGCTGCCAATACCAAGCCATTGAAGGTCACTCTTCCGCCCAATCTTGAGTTCCCATATGCTTCGCTTGTGATGTCGTCTTGTGAATGCCATCTTATGCCACTTCGCTATTAGGATACCTCGATGTCATCATATGTTGTCATACTATGTTATGTTATTGCCGCCTGCGATACCTCCCACCGGTTCCATACAAGACTGCCCACTGAGAAGTTGGATTCGTTCAACGCATATCTAGACCTTGAACATTGCCCTGTGTTCAATGGTAATTGTGGCTACCTCTATGTTCCGAGACATGATGGGCCTTGAACTCAACATATCATCTCCACGAGGTCCCTCTGGGAACTGTGAAAGACTTTCGTCACGTAGCTCGACCCTAGAGGAACAATTTGCTCCAGTCCAATCGCCATGAGCCCCCATTGCCTTGCACCAGCACCACATCCTCACTTCGACGCGTCAACCACAAGCCATTGATCCGCCAAGCCGTGCCTACCCTCTAGTTCTCACCCCAACATCTACATCACACCCCTTCCCTCAAATAATTCCCAAGGGAAGGGGGGGGGGGGGGGGGGGGCAGGTATTTCACCAAGGCACACAGCCGCCGAGAGGAAGTGTGTGTGAGAGAGGGAGCGAGCGAAGGACAGAAAAGGGCTGTAGTTACATCGGCAAGTATCCAAGGGCCCAACCCACTCACTCATTCCCACACGGAAAACCACCGCACGGTAAACGGTCTCGTGCCCTCTGCTGCATGCTTGTATGACGCAGGCTCACCCAACAGTCCGCGTCGGCCTGAAGCCACGAATATGGTTTATGACATACTGTGCAGTATTTCTTACACACACACACTCACTTCTCTGAGGTGCGTTTGTGTGTCTACTGGTATCTGCCGTGGATGACTGTGGGGGAGGGGGACCTTTCCACGGGCAGCAGGATGCTAGTAGGGTATCTGAGGTAGTGTTGTCTACCCCGAGGAAGTTCTCACCGTACCCCCAATCGATTGGTCATTCCATTACGAATTACGAAATGGGCACTCCCTTTTCGTTCTTGCTGCCGAGGGGAGGAGGTATTGGATAACTCTCCCCGAGTAGGGAGGGGGAAACGCGAGATTCTCGTCCTGGTTAAGATTCCGATACCCCGACTTTTGGCCCTGATCCTGATTCTGGGGTAAAAAGGCGCCCCGGTACTTGCTTACCGGCGCATTGTAGGCACAATGGTGATGAACTTGACGCTTCATGGAGTTTTTATTTATTTATATCACAATTCAAAATCGCTTTGTGCGTTTCCCTAGGGACGCAGCATTTCCAACAAGGCGGCTTGTGCCTGAGCAAGTCACTAGCAGCTGATCCCAAATCATCCTACGGACGCGGTTTTGCCAGTTTCTGTATTTGAGGGGTGGACAGCCCCAGCCTCGTCTCCACGGATTTTTGACCACCTGGAAGTGAAAAAGGCCCTGACTACATCCCGTTCGGATAGTAATCCAGGTGTATCGTGTCTTGAATTTCTACGCACCTTGACCAAAAGGGCACTCAGGTATCCGTAGTTGCTCTCGGCTACCGCTTCTCGTGTCCAGACCTTGTGGAGGTGGAACATTCCCCCGCCATTGTGGTCGCCCACAAACCCCGCCGTAACACCCGCACTGCGGCACTGCGAGAATCCACCAGCAGAAACTGGTCTCGGGAGACGACGTGCTACGCCAGGCGTTGATGAACGAAACCCCCCATCTGCCATGTCCTTCAAAGACTCTAAAGAATAACATAAACATTCCGGTCTATAGCCAAGTGGAACGTGTTTGAAGGTTCAAGAGGAGGCAATAGGCGTCATTGACTGAAAGTCAATTTGTGCAGCTTACGGACGCAATGATCTTCCCCTGAACACGCCCGGCCAGGCTTTGGCAATAAAACAAAGGAACTCCACACGAACTACATCAATAACCAGGCGGCGGCGAACATGCCTTCGGCGACTTTGCCGCCGAATGTAAGACACGACCAGCCAGTCGGGGGACGCGCGGGGGATACAATGCAGTTGCCCCGGCACATGGCATTGTTTCTCTGCTTTGTTCTAGAATCCTTATGTTTGTACGGCTGCGGAGACTCCACGGCTTGTGGATCAAGCAAGGCAGTCAGTCATGCATTTTCGTGGTCGGTGGCAGCTCCTGACAGCGTTTGGGGATACCATGGTACATCCAAATTGATTATCCCCTTGGAAAATAGGGGGGAAAATCGTAGCTAAGAGCCAGATGCGACATATCGGCTACTGGCTGGCGCTGAAGATTCCGTACATGAGGATCATGAGATGGGCTCCTTGACGATACTGGTTGATTCGAGTACAGACAGAGGAACAGCCCAAAGGAAGTCCTGCGAGCGGCTTTCCTGCTCTGCGCTGGGGGGGGGGCATCCGACTTCTGATCCTGGCCTGAGTACCTGGAAGTCCATGCAGCATCCAAGCTACCTTGGTTTAGAACCGATGATCGAATCTCATCGATTATTGGGGTCGCATGGCT